TATACAACGAAAGGAGACTGCGACCACACAAAAGGCCACACCATCTTGGTCTTCATATCTTCTATTAATTTAAGTTTATGGAATAATTACTCAACTCATTTCCAGACTACTAGCTTGAAGGAGGTTTAAAGCTAACTTCAAGCTTTATTATTAATACTAAAAGTCACTAGTCAAAATGTTTTTAGAAGCAAATCCCCCTGAGTGCATGGGCTTCCTGGATAATTAACCTGAAAGCGTTATGTCCTGAATAACAGCATATATTATATTTCCTTTCTGATCGCGCATAGTAACAATATAAATCCAGGGACATTTTGCAGAAGAAGCAACGGAAGGAGGTTGCCAAAGAAGATGGACCAGCTGCGAGTTAACTGCATCAACAGTGGCTGAAAATAAGGCAATGGAGGGAGGACCTAAAACGCAAACAAAAATATGACGAAAAAGTGTAATAAATGTCTTTAAACATTTTATACTAGCTCACTAAATAATTAGTGCTTATTGGCATGCAGCTTGTAACTCTCTATGAAATCTCATAATAATGCTACTAGAAATGGCTAATTAGTTAATTTACTGAATTTAACATTTATCACTTAATCAATGTGGGCTAGTGAATAGATTTAAATGAAAAAATATTGAATTACCTTGGTTTTAGAGTGACTCTGAGAATTTGTTTTGTTTTACTTTAGCCCTGCTACATGGAAATCGGTTTAATGGCTTCTCAACCAGAACATACAACACTGATTATAGCAAAATTAATTTGTATACAAAAAAGCTTGTGGCTTCGTACAAAGTGCCTTCCAAATGAGATGACTACATGAATTTTCTTTGCGCTAAAATTTATCTGATTGTCCTCGTCTCTCTATTACTAGAAGATATAGATTGTTTGGTTGCTCTCTGATTGAGTCCTGTTGTTTATGCTAATGTGGCCTTTATGTTTGCGTTAGCCGAGGAATCACATTTCTGCTTAAAGCGTTGACATTTAAGATAACCATCTATTGGTTGCTAGTGCAAAGGGTGTCGATTGCGTAAGCTGCCTTATTTAGGAAGTTAATATATAAATGTTGGTCATCTTAGTCCAAGGTAGCCACAAGCTTATTTGATGATATTTAAATTAACAAGAGTCTCACCATAGATATTCAATATTGCAAGCTTTGAGTAACTAAAAGCATCACCCAAAAAGGAAACGGCACAGCGAAACAGATTTGGCGTATACATAGATCTGTCTATCGCA